AAATTGCCGTGAACACAGTCACTATTGCCATTTTGAAATACTTTCATACGCAAAAGCTCAAAACGGTAACAATATCAAATTATTAATATTTTGAATTATTGATTTTTAGAATAATAGAACTTTTATTAGTTTAATATTACGGATATTTAGAGATTTTTACAACAATCAATTTTATATATAAGTAGCACTTCACTTGATAGCAAATAGATAAATTAATAAGTTAAGTTGTTGTTAATAAATTAGATAACAAGTTCTTAATAATGAATTCACTTATTAATTACTCTTTGATTTTAGTATAATTTTGATTATAGACTTGAAATAGTCTAGTAATATTATTATTCTTGTATTATATATTTGTCTAGTTTATGTGCAGAGCACTGATTGAGATAGCAATAGTAAAAAGTATAATAATAAAAAAGCTTTGTTAATAAAACTATCTTGAATTTATTATAATTATAATATATAATCTTCTTAATAATAAACTTAACTTGATCCATTATCTTCTTTTATAACTGTAAAAAAAAATTCATTAAAAATCTTTCGCTATATAAATATTGTTAAAAAAACTGAAATAACACTAGTATTGCTGGTGTTGCTGATATTGTTAGCGTTAACACAAATCTAAGAACCAATAATATCTAAAATATAATTGTTTAATAAAATAATAACTATCTAAAAATAACTATCCAATAGAAATATGAATATGAAATTAATCAATAGAATATAATAAAATATTATCCAATTAAATTTATGATATAAATTAATTAATAAAATAAGAACTAAATATTCATATCATAACAATACACAAACTCCTAAAATTACTTGTGAAAATATTTTATATTTAGCTTTATTCTGAGATTCAAAATTTAGAGATAATATATGCAAAATCATATATCAATATACAGATGATTCCAAAAAAGTATCTAAAATTATTAATAAACATTTGCAGGATAGAGATTTCATAATCTTTGATTTTACTAAGATAGTAAATAATTCTGTAAGTATATGTCTTGGTTGGGATTCCATTTTAAATCTTTTTGATCAAATATAAAATGAAAACCAAATATTCTATAAAAGATGCTTGTAAAATTGTTATAGAATGAAATAGTTTATGTCTTTTAGATAGATATATTAATTGCAATACATCTTTATTGTGAAAATGTGCTAAAGACCATGAATGAATAGCTCCCTTTCACAGGATTAAAAATGCTAGAAAATGATGTTCACATAGCTCAAAAAATAAATCTTACACTCTTGATAATGCTAAACAAGTTGCAAATAATAAAAATGGAGAATGCCTTTCAGAAAATTATATTACCATTGCAGTGGAGATGTGCTGAAAGACATGAATGGTATTTAACACTTAGAAACGTAAAATATTGTAATACTTGGTGTCCAGATTGCGCACATATACTCTTGAAGAAGCTAAACAAATTGCACATAGCAGGAATGGCGAGTATCTTTCTGAGATATTTGTTAATATTCGTTCTTGAAAACATCAAAATATCCAACAGGTTTAGAACTTGATATTCCTTACTACCATTATGGTTTTGCTATCGAGGTACAAGGTGAACAGCATGAAAAATATAACGAGTTCTTTCATAAAGGAGACCCCAATAATTTTATCAAACAGCAAGAGCGGGATCAACTCAAGAAAAAATTGTGTGAAGAAAACTGGACTGTTTTAAGGTATGTTTGGTATTACGAAGACCCATCTATAGTTATTCCAGAGCATCTTCGAGAATTGGGTCTCATTGAATAAATTCGAAACTTTTGCGATCCACTATTATTTTTGACTATAATTTTGCTCACATCGGGCTTTTGTTTTTTTAATGTATGCTGTATATGGTGTGGTGTATATCCCGGATGAATAAACAATAAATGCTTTGGTAGTAGGCAGGTGATGATCAAGCTGATATGACGATTCGTCAAATATATTTCAGGAATCGCTTTGCTGAAATGATATGAGATGGTTTCAATATACACAGATTTTCACAAAGAAACAACTTGATGATTATAAATATACTTATCTTATGCAACAAAGAACACTAAGATCAGGATAACATACTCAACTAAAGTGACACTACAGTGACCGGCATGCCAAACAGCACCCATAAAACAACTACCAAGAAGCGTTCTTGTCACTGAGCATTCAGATAGTGCACGCACACCTCTGTCATTTAAACTTGCATCAACAAGGAAATGTCACCGCCAATCGAAGGGACAAGGCGATGTCTCAACAAGGTGAATATGTTATCTTGTGGAAGACGCACAAAAATCCGGCATATGTCACAGCATACCCATGGGCAAGGAAATAACTTGCTTGAATTCTTGGCATTACGGTGCACCAACGCTGATACACGCTCTTCCACATGGTTAAAAAAAGTTGCTCTACAAGGTTAAAGCATTTAATTAATCATATTATATTAACAACAATGACAATGTTTACATTATTTTAACAATACCTTAATTTGTTCTATTCATTCGGTTTATTGCATTATTTTTTCCATGGTCCTATTCTCTGGCTTTTTATATGGTTTGCTTTACTTGTCCTCATCTTTCCGAAAAAAATTACGTGAACCAGTTAACTCTGAATAATTATTTTACATAAAAATAAAATATTTGAGTAACAATACCCACGTGACTTAGTTACAACACGTCTGGTCTTGACATACGCGATACTGGGTAATTTATTACTATTATTACTGTATTTGAATATTTTCGCAAATACTTGATAATTCACATTCCAATATTGCACACAACCTTGACAACGGATATAATGACCCATACCGCTCTCAAAAACGCAATCATCAAATCCTTCGATGATTGCATTAATGATTGCAAGAATTGGGGGCTCGAACATACCCTACAATATCTTGAAAAATCTCACATCAACTTTGATGAAAAAGACTACCCATTCATCAAACAAGAAGTGATAAATAAGGCGATAGACGTGCATAATAACCCGTACACTACGAAAACTGTCACAAACAAGGCGAAATCGATAATTAAGAAACTTAGAGTAGGTCGAGTTAACGGCGATTTGTTTTACTATTGCATGCATGTTGATAATTTTCCTCTTTCTCAGAATTCGTCTAAAATATCCATGGAAGCCGTCGGAATCTTTCAACGGCAAAAAAACAAAGTTGAACAGGTATAACATGAAAACCATCGTTATTTAGTATACGAAACATTTTATTGAGTTCATTGTAAAAAAATGTCTTCTTGTAAATTTGTAAAATTCTCTTCTTCTGTTTTCACTAACACCACCATTTTTTGGTTAATAACAGAATCGGTTTTATTACCGTATGGATAAGAACGTTCGGAAGATAGAGACCACAATTTCATCAGTACATGTTGGGGAAGTGAAAAGACGTGCTGAAACATCTAACCAAGCCAACAAGCGAAATCGCGTGAGTATTCAAAATTATAGATAATTTAAAATCTGGGACAATGTCGATTGCTAGTGCTTTTCTTCTTATTCTGATTGGTTTTGTACAGATCAATGACATTGAGTCTCCAGAAATTGATAACGATTATTCAGATAATGATGAAAATAAGAGCGATGATGCATTATTACAGTCAGAACCGAAGGTTAGCAATGATAATAATCCTGCACAAATGGTTAAACCTTGTGGATACCCAGCCACTGCCACTGCATCCACTACCACCGTGACCGAAGAAACTGATGTTGGTGTGGATAATCGTCAGGTTTTTGTGGAGGTTGATTTGCGGTTTCGAGAATTTCAACAAAATTATCTCGCAATGTGCGATGATATGAAATGGAAGCTTCCATCCGGAAGTTATGTTGAGGATATTATTTTTAATTACACAAAGGATCTCCCTTATGAATGGTTAGTGTTAAGTTTAAAAGTATCTATTGTCATAAGCTATGATCTGATCTAATATTTTACCAGTCCATTACATAGTTTTATTCTTGATATCGAAAACCAAAATATAATGAAATTGTTTAATAAAGAAGATCAAGAACATATCAAGACACACAATGTTATGGCTGACCCTGAATTAGAGGACGGGCTAATGGAATATCTTATTACATATAATGAAGTGAGTATCATCCTTGTAAGTACAATGAGAATGTTGTATTCAATAATAACATCCTTTTCATTCTATAGACTGATATTTCAAAGATGAGGGAGAAAATTAATGCAGGGATAGACATATCTCCATATGATCCCAAAAAACACTTTGATTATCAATATATCTATCAAGTTTTTGCTAACCTGTGAGTAATTAATCATATTTTTAATAATAATTGTCGACTTGTATTTATCTATCTTCTGTTATCAGCCTGCCCAGATATGAATTGAGATCTGCAGATTTTGCTCGAGCACACTTGGAGGGATGGTTCAACTCAAATATATGGAATATAGTCATTGACTCATGCCTTATTGATTTACACGCAGTTGAGTTTATCCGGTAAGTTATTTAATGTATTGTTTTGAATTTTCACTTATCAGTATAATTATGTTGTGACCAATTTTTTTAGGGGAGAAGGATGCTCACGTGCGTCATCAGAACGAAAAAATAAAGGAAGAGAAAGTGCAGAAACAAGGTCTAAAATTGGCAGAAAGTGTGATGGAATTTTGCGAGAGCTTGCATCGATCGAAGAATATGCAGTTAGTGAAGAGGGAAATCTTTTTGTGGGAAAAAGTGGAACGAAATACTTAGCAGATTGTGGGTTAAAAATGCCAAAGGTCATGAAAGATATGATTAAGCAAAAGGTTAACAAGTGTGGAATGGATTTCGTAAAATCCCAGCATTTAGAAATCGTTGGATTCTTACATTCGGGTAAGAAATGTTTTTTTATCATATAGCTCCATATACCTTTCTAACATACTGTATTTATCAAGCGCAATATTTACAGCAAGTCATCATGGACATCCCAGCAGGTTATATATGTCGACTTCGAAAAAGTCGTTCATACAGGGTACCATCATTATTATTAGAAGTAGAAGATTTAATATTTTTAATTCATGAAGTCCTCGTTGCCAAGGTAAGTTTCAAGACATTCCTACAATAAATCATCTGCCCATTCTTATGATTCTATTATTTTCTCTAGCTTCGTATTAAGCGAAATATAGAACTATCAAATAAAAAATGCAATAATTTGAAAGAAGCTTTAAGAAATAAACAGACCAAGAAGTCAGGACCTGATAATGATTTGCCAGACAATCAAACCTCTCCATTGAAAAAGTCAATTTACACTATATTAGCTTTTAATTAATTTTTATTAGTTTCTAGCATAGTGGCTTTAATAAATCTTTAATGCAAAAAGTAGAAATTATATTTCTAAAAATACATTTTTATTAAAATCAAGATCACATAATGTAATAAAAAAAAATTTATGTTTGAATCGAATTTTCAGAATGTATCCTGATTATCTAAGATAATTTATCCCGGATCGAATTTTAAGAACGATCAAATTCATAATAGCAATAAACACACTGCTTTAATTTATAATTTATCCAAACTTGAGATTTATCCAAAATTATTAGACGACATACAGATAATGTGAAAAATGCTTTAATGATTATTAATAACTATCTTCATAAAGGAGAATTCATTGTATTTGATCTAGATAAACCTGAGGATAATGAACTTGCAATAAGATTAAGGTTTGATACTTCATTAAATTTACAGAAAGAGACAGAGTTATGACAAAAACGTAAAACAAAAAAATAATTTATTTTTGTATTCTCATAGTGAATATAAATTAGATAATTATTTTTTCAACTGTAATTTTATTATGTTAATATAATACATTTTATTTTTCACTTTTATTAAGAAGCTGATTGTATTCAATCAATTTGTAATTAAAGTAGGTGGAAAAATAACAAGTACAATTTATTATTTATACTAGGAATTTTTGGTACCAAATAAAATAAACTCATGTAAAAATCAAAGTAAAAAGAACTATTAATCATTTCAAATAGCAGTAAATAAAAGTTTAAAGTACTAGCTTTTAGAAATATTTTAGGTGATTTTATTTTAAATAGATATATATAAATAAGTTATATAATTAATAAATCAAATAAATAAATTAAATTAAATAAATAAATATGTATATTATACATTTTTAGATAGGTTATATATTATTAATTTGACACATTTCTTCTTGAATTGTTCATAATAATTTATAATATTTAGCTAACTGTATAGTACACATATCTTCAGATTTGTAAAAAATCTTTAATTATTTCTGCAATATGATTTTTACAACTCAGATCTTTTTTGTTATTTCTCAAATATATTTGATTTTTTTGATAAGATTTTCTATTTATAATTCATATTGATAATAGTTAATCTTGTATAAATATCACATTCAACTTCTGATTTTGTTTAAGTTCCATATACTTTTTGAAACTTATAATATTTATTTTCAGTACAATTTGTATATCAATATTCTTTCATCTTATAATTGTGATATAATTTATATTTTACTCTTTTATCAATATAAATAAATTGATTATATTTATAATATTTACTTTAATAATCATATAATAACTGAATTCTTCTATAAATTTCATTTTTCTAGCAATAATATACTGTTACAGTAGTAATATAAATATTGCAAATTTTAAAAATAATTGAAAAACATGAAAATTTTAAAAGATTCATATAATAGTAAAATCTCTTAATATTATTTTACTTTTTCATTATTTCACTTTTATATATATTACTTCACTTTTTTATTATTTTACTTTTTCATTATTGCACTTTTTTATTATTTTACTTTTTATTATTTCACTTTTATATATTGTTATAATATGAACTTTTATTATATTGTTACCGTTTTGATGGGGCTTTCGAAATACTCAAAGGTATTTATAAAATTTAAGGAATATTCAAAGGGAA